AAAAAAAACATAAAAACATAAAAACAAAACATAAAACATTAAAAAACAAAAAAGGTAATAAATTTTATAAATTATATAAAGTCGATATATATAAATCTAATATTGGGGTATAGGTTTAAAAATGATGATGATGTTCATCGTGTTCCGGTACCGGATGAATGGCTGGAGTTTTATGTACGACTGCATTAAATCCGTTATGTTTGTCAGCTGTGTAATCAACGGTTCTTATAGATCCATCAGGTTCAACCAAACTATATTGTCCTTTAACAACATCTCCGTCTCTTGTTTCGTGTTGGTGTTTCACGTCACCCGTGTGATAATCTTTAACTCCGTATTTGAATGAATATTTCGGATAAGCCTTTTAACGTTAAAAAAAAACGTTATTATTATTATTATTATTATTATTATTAATCAATGGTGGACGGTGATTTGAAAGAAAACTCACGTGGTAATCGTATGAATAATCGTGACCGTGTCCGTGACCCTGTTCTTGTTCTGACCCATGTCCATAATCTAAAACTTGTTCGTGTCCAAACGATTGATAATTTTCCAAACCTCCTTGATCGTAACCGCCGCCGAAACCTCCGTGACCGCCACCGCCGCCACCTCCTAAATCGGAATAATCAACTTGTTGAAGTCCGTAACCGGCGGACTCGTCGTAAGATCCGAAACCGTGGACATCTTTTGGAAAACCGGATGCGATGGTGAACAAACCGAAAAAAGCCAAAAAGGCAGCCTGAAAATTTATTTTTTATTTAAAGTAATTTTCGTTTTTGTCGGACGCCATTTTTTTCTTTTTTTTGCAAATTATTACGTAATTCGTAACGAAAAATTAACATTTTTTTTTAAAAATTAAATCAGGGAAAGTTTCTTTTTTTCAATATAATTTTATTTAAAAGAGAAACGGAAGAAAAAAATTTTTTTATGTTTTTTATGTTTTTATTTAAAATTCATTTCGACTCGAACTATAAAAAAAAATGTTTTTTTTTTTTTTTATTAACGACGATTTTTATTATTATCTGTTCAATAAATTATTTTTATTGGTTGTTTTACTTAAATAAATAAATAAATAATCAAACTTGTTTTTAAATATCTACCGAATTAATTTAATAATTAATAATAATCATCGGAAATTTACCGAAAAAAAAATGGCTAGAAAAAAAATATAGCACGACTATAGAAATCTATAAAGATTATTTAAAAACCCACGTGACTTCCTTCAACAACAACAACATTGTTTATAAACATTTACCAACTTATTATAGTAAAATCCAGATAGTCTATAAATTTTATTTTTGTTTTTTTTTTTTTCGTTGCTATAATCAATCTACTCTATACCTTTTAAAAACTAAAAATTAATTTCGATTTGAATAAAAAAAAAAAAAATAGAAAATTTCAACTTACTATAATAATTTTTGAAAATGCCATGTTACCAATCGATACCAATCATCGATAGCGTTTGAACAAAATCACTCTCGAGTCATTTTATTTTATAGTCTATAAATATTTCGTAATCTAGTCTATAACTGACACGATTGAATTATTACATCGATTCGTTATATTAATTAATTTAAAAAAAAAAAAAAACAATTTGAAAAATATAATTGAATTGTGCCAATAATAATAATAATAATAATAATAATATTAATAATAATAACAATAACAATTTTATAGACTATAAAAATTTTTACAGCAAGTTATTTGTTGTCTGTTTAAACTTCGTTAAAAAAAAAAGGTTACAATCACTCTTTATCCGAAATTTTTACATCATTATTTCTCATTATTTCAAACGTGATAATAATAATAATAATAATTTTGTCGTGCCTTTCTTCCGAATAGCAACGGTTTGGTTAATATCCGGTGAGAGAGAGAGAGAGAGAGAGAAACAAAAATGAATTTAAAAAAACTTACGATGTAAATTGAATCAGCCTTGAACGAAAAGTTGGTGTCCATTTTGTGAAAATTTACAAAAAAAAATAACAATAATAATAATAATAGTATTACAGGTGAAAAAAAAGAAAAAGAATTAAAAAGAAAAAAAAAAGTAGACAGACACTAACTATTTTAATAGAACAAAGTTAAAAGTACTAATGTGAATAAATGAGAAAATCATATTGACTTTATACTTCTCCTCCTGATGAGACAAAGTGGGGTGGGAGTACCTATGATACGTACGTATTAAATGCCGGTTACACAATTTTCTTTTTTTTCAATTTCAATTTTAATATACATAATAAACGCAGCACAACAAACGCATAAAGACACAAACTCACGCACGCGCACGCACGCACGCACGCACGCACACCAGTTTAATTTAAAAACATTATAATTTTTTTTAAAAACATTTTTATTCACGCTTGAGTTTTCTTATTATTAAAATTTTTCCTTCCGCCATTTTTTGTTTGTTTGTTCGTACGACGATTTAATAATTAAATTTTATATTTAAAAAAATTTTTTTTTTTAATTTACTCACTCATTACGTGAGAGAGTAAGTAAGAGTCGTCAAAGGAAAATAATAATAAAATAATAAATTTTTTTAATTAACCAACTGTCATCAACTTATACAATAAATCAATACATAAATCAATAAATATTTAAAATCGATATCGATAATGATGATGATGAAGTTTTATTAACTTTTACTTTTAAAATGATTTTTTTTTGTTTTGACGAATAACTTTTTCCTATTTTGGATGGTTTAAATGAATGATGTGACAATGAAGAGTAAAACGAGGTCTGGCTACCTTGCTGGCTACCTGGCTACCTGGCTGACATCGATGATGCAGTTGTTAAACGCAACAAGTTCAAGTAAAAATTTTTCTTAAAAAAAAAAAATGAAGGCCAGGGTTTTTTTTTTTCGTCTTCGTATTAACTAATATTTGTTAATTTAAACTTTTGCGAAAGCGTACGACAGTTGAGATGATATAATAGGGAGAGCGAGGGGAAGGGGGGGTGAAATGTTTGGAAATCCCGTTAGAAGGAACCAAAAGAGAAAACAACGGAAGAATTAAAAAAAAAAAAAAAGAACGTGGAATTAGGCACGGTTAAAAAAAAAAAATGTAACGAAAAAAATCACCGTAGAGGATTATGTCATTTATTATTATCATTATTATTATTATTATTATTATTTTTAAACATTTAAAAGACGTTTGTCAAAAAATTGTTTTAATTTTTTGAATGATGCAATAGATTGATATTTTCGTTAACAACGGTTTTCCCTTATTTTTTCTTTTTTGGATATTTTCCCTATCGATTTAAAATGATATTAATAATAATAAACGCTCTTCCCTATTTCACTTTATTATCATCATCATCATTATCATTGATATTATTTATATTGATTCGAATATTTTTACATTCATGTATTGGTTGCCACCGAACAAAAAAAAAATGAATGAAAACTTTTTTAAATTTTTTTACTTTTTTTTCATTCACTTTTTAACCGTCATCATCATCATCATCTTGTAATCGATTATTGATGAGTTTCGTACCTGAAATTTTTCTTACGTTTCCTGCTTAAAGTGATCGGATAAATTAAATACATTTTAACCAATCATTAATTAAAAAATACTTTCAAATAATTTTAAAAGTTTAACAAAACTTTCGTTCGTTTTTTTGCCTTCGTTTCTGAAGACACGTTTTTTTTTTTTGTAACGACCGCAAATTTTCTTAGTTTAAAGGTAAAATAATTTGACCTTAAATTAATTTTTTTTTTTTTTCAAATAAAGATACAATCACGCAAAAAATAAAACTTATGTACATATATATATATATAAATTAATAGGTTGGTAATGAATGACAATCGTTTGGGTAACCGAAAACCACAATTTCTCAAAACATTGCGTCAAATATTTCGTCACGAAACAATATTTAACGTTACGTCATTATTATTATTATTATTATTATTATTATTATTATTATTATTATTATTATATAGATTTTATTTAATTTAAAAAAAAAAAAAAAACAAAACAAAACGAAAAATTTTGTCGAAATTCTTAAAATCGATCGATAAAAAAAAAAGGTATCAGGTGTAATGATTTATAAGTGAGAAGAGGTCACGACGTGATAAAACAATTTGTGGTGACTGCGGTTTCTTTAATTTAAACCCTCAACGTTTGATTATAAAAAGTAACGGAAAAGAGAGAAGTGAGGGGAAGTAAGTAAGTACGGGAAAAAAAGGGAAAAAAGGGGAAAATTTGTATTTTCATAGAAATTTTTGCGCCCGAATTATATCATCATCATCATTATTAAACGTAAGTTGTTTTTTTTTTTTTTTGAGATCGATCGGTCACGTGATTTTGTTTTTATTACTGTAAATTTAAATTAATTAATTTATTATTATTACTCATCAACTGCCCGGATTTTTTTTTTTTTCAAATTTTAAACGGGGAAATTATTTAAAATTTTTTCGATGAATCGGAAACAATTACCGCAGATTTATTTATTATTTAATGTATTTTTTTATGTAAGCAATCCATGATAATGATAATGATAATGATAATGATGAATAAATAAATAAATAAATAAATAAAATAGAAATCCTTTCTCCGGTATCAATATTTATGAATGACTGGAGAAAATATTAATTCACGCCAACGTAAAAATATTTTTTTATCGCACTTTCCTCTCCCCATCTCCAATCTCCCACCCCTCCTCCCCTTCGATTTTAAAAGTAAAATAATTTAACATGAGAATTCTCTCTCTCTCTTTTTAAATTTCGTGGCAGAAAAAAAATTAATTAATGAGTTTTAAATAAGTTCCGGTCATCTGGAAACGAAATAAAAAAGAATTTTTTTTTTATTAATTTTTTGCCAAATTATTTATTATCGAAAAGAGAAAAAAAAATTATTAAACAATGAGTTTTATATTCTCACGTAAACAAATGATAAAATTTATGGAGAAAAAAAAACGAAAACGAAAAATAAAAAAAACAATATAGCAAATTAATTTTTTTTTGTTTCTCTTAATTCTTTTATCCGAAAAACTATTTCCGGTTTTTATTTCTCTATCACTATCTCTATGGAATTTTTATTGATTCCTATTAAGAGGAAATAAAACGTTGTTGTTGTTATTTTTTTTGTATAAAATAAGAGAGAGAGAGAAATAGACAAAAAAAGTTGAAACCTGAAAACAAATGATCATCGTACCGGAATAAAATTAACCAGTTGTTGATTTACCGTTCCGCTAAAAACCTGAATAAATAAAGTAAAAAAAAAAATTTTTTTTACTTTTCTCCATCATCATCATTATCATCACATTAAAACAAAAAAAAAACGTTGATAAATGATTTAATAAATTTATAAATTTATTTTTATTTTATTTGTTAAGTTTTTTTTGTTATCTTTATTTTGTTTTTTCCTGTAAAAAAAAAAAAAAAAAAAAAAACAAGTGAGTTAACATAACAAACATAAAATTATGGAAACTATTATTAATAATAATAATGATAATAATTAAAACAACAGTTTTATTTGAATAATTGATCTGATCATTGTGCTCTTACATTTAGTTTTATAAACAATTAAATAGATGAGTAGGTGACACCTTATGTAATTATTTATTCTTTTACAGATTTAACTTAATATGAAGGATGCAAATGCACGCATCAGTTTCAAAAAGGTACCATAATCATAACCCAAAAAGGAAATATTCAAGTATCAACAGATTCCAACAGGCAAACAACTTTCTTCTGCTGTATGAGTTACGGTAAGATTTTATTGATTACTAATTTATTGGTATCGGTTTCATTTTTGTCCAGAGAGAGAGAGAAAGACCCTAACAACAACACTAACTAACAATAATAACAAATTAAACTAAATAATTTAATGACAAAAATATCTATGAATAATAATAATAATAATGTGCTAAATAATTAACCCAAATGTATAAAATATATTTGCAATTAAATATTTAACGAATTAAAAATGCTTGGAAAAAAAAAACTTAATCGATCCGCCATTAATTAATTAACGATGAAAGAAATTTAAAATAATTTTTACAAAATGGCGGATTTAATTAGTCAAAAAAAATACTTTTTTTTTGTTACAAATTATTGATTTCGATCGATATAATTTTTTTTTAAATAAATAAATTCCTTTAATTAAATTTTTACAAAAGATTCGAATCAAAAAATTTTTATTTTTTAATTAATTAACGAGACTAATTTTAAATGAAATGCAATTTTTTTTTTTTTTATTGTCCGTTTCTTAATCGTTAATTAAATTATTATTATTATTAAAATCTATTAACATTATTAATTAACGATAATGATGATGATAATAATATTTCATTAAAAAAAAAAAAATTTAATCTTATCAACAACAAGTACGAATGGAAAAAAAAAAAAAAAAATTATGTAACATAACAAAAAAATTTCTAACCGCATGACAACCGAATCATATGTTTAACATGTCAAAAAACCATCGCATAAAACTTTTCTTTCTGTCTTCTGCTCAGTAACCGTTACTAATGCATGGCCTAAAGGTATTTGCCATAAGTAAATTGAAAAAAAAAAAAATTTGTGTTGAGAAATTGAAATTATTTTTTGAAAATTGTTTGTCAAAAAAAAAAAAAAAAATTTAGAAGAAGGAAAGTAATTAAAAAAAATTATCATTATTAATATTATTCCTTTCTCTCGAAATTTAAATTTTTTAATAAACAATAGTTTTAATAAATCGGTTATTTATTTATTTATTTATTAACTATCAGTGTGATAACGTCACAAAATTGAAAATAAAATCGAATCGAAAAACCTTTTTTTTTTATTATGCCACGGCCCCCCCAAAAAAAAACTAAATAATAATAATAATAATTTTCAACGCCTTGAAACGGAAACATGAATTCGTGAGTTTTTTTTTTTTTTTTTAACCGAAAAAAAATGAATGCCAATAATTACGTGAATTCGTTCACGGCCGGATACTTTATTTATTTATTTTTTGTTTTTTTTTTTTTTTTTTGGCAAAAAATTTTGTTTTTCGGTTACAGTTTTTTTTTAAACAGAAATCACGAAGGCATAAATTTTAGTACAAGGCAGGTGTACTTCCTAATTAAAATTTATATTTTATAATTTCATGGGACTGTAAATTTTCAACTCACTTTCTCTGTATATAAGACCCATTCACATAATCGCATAAATTCTAAATAATGGTCTCTTTTTTCTTTTTTGTTACGTAATAAATTTTTGGCCCTTATTTAAAAAAAAATAAAAAAACTATCTAGAATGTATTTTACTATCTTATCATCATCATCATCATCATCATCATTACACGGGGATAATAATACTACAACATAAATGTTATACATAATATAATTACATGGGTTTTATATTAAATTTTTTCATTCAGTCATTCGTAGTGTAAGGGTAAGTTTTTCTTTTTTGCATATTCCTGTTCAGCATAATTTTATCATTTATTAAAAAAATTAATTTAATTTTGTTTCCTAACCTTCGTATAAAAAAAACAATTTTACATCAAAACCGTATCAACCCTTATTATTATTATTATTATTATTATTATTTTTAAATCGATGATGATGATGATGATGATGATGATGTTCTTAAGGTAAATATTTAAATAAATTTCAATCGTAAATCAATTTATTTATCATAACAACTATTAAGTTTAATACGTCCTTGTCTGGAATTCATTTGAATTATTTATTTATCATTATTATCATTATCGTTATTGTTTTTTTTTTTGTTGTAATCATATTAACCGTTGATTTTGTGATTATTATTATTATTATTATTTACACCTTTCACTTAGAAAAAATAAATTTTTTTTATTTCACAATAATTAAGCGGTTTTGTTTTTTTTTTTTTTTCAAATGAACTTTTTTTAAAGTTGAAGTCACTCAAATGTAACATTGTTTATCGTTTATGTATACATAAATAAATAATAAAATTTTTTTATACATAAAAGAATACCTGTGAAAACAAACCGGAAACTAAACATCGTTTCCGTTTTTTTTTTCCTTTTTAATTTATAAATGAATAAAAAATATTTTTTTATTTAAAAAAAAAAAAAAAATTATTTATTTTTATTTTTTAATAATAAATTTTATTTTTAGTAATAATAATGATAATAATAATAATAATAATAATAATAATAATAATAATAATAATAATAATAATAATAATGAATGACTGTAATTTTTATAAATAAATCAAAAAAAAAAATAAAAAAAATTATGAATGAGTATTGTTTACGAACTGCGATAATTTGATAGAACTACAAACAAAAAATTATTATTAATATACAACACGTATAATAAAAATAAATAAATAAATACATAAATAAAGTTAATAAGTAAGGTGCAATTAATTAATAATTGATGGCAATTATCAAACAAATTGTTATAATTTTTTTTATTTTTTTTTGCATTTGAATATTTAAAAAATTATTTACACTCTACATACCGACTGGATAATGCAACAACAAATTAACAATTAACAATTGAGAATAATAATGATAGTAATAATTTAATTATTTTACAATTCGTAACAACATTTAGGAAAATGAAATTTCATTCCATGACGGCAAAATGGCGGCGTTTGTTTATTTACATTTGTTTATATAAATTTGTTTTGCCGCCAAAATTTTTTCCCTCTTATTTTTCCCCTTTTCTTTCCCGTTTTTTAATTTCTCCGGTTATGTTGACATTATTGTGTTATTCATAGGTTATTAATTATTATTATTATTATTATTATTATTATTATTATTATTATTATTATTATTATTATTATTATTATTATTATTATTATTATTTTTCTATTATATCATATTATACATAAACATTATTTTAACACAATTTCATCGTGTTTTTTTTAAACATTTTCAATTTTTATTTATTTATTTAAAAGAAAAAAATTCTCAAATTCAAAATTTAATTTAAAAACAAATTTATATG